TATTCGCCTATTGTGCGTGCTAAAACCACGGCCACCACTCTTTTTGAGCGCATTTACATATGTTTGCATGTTTGCATGTATTTGCAAGGGTTTTTGCAAATTTTTGCAGATTTTTACATACTTATTTTTTCTAAGATATAAGTAAACTATTTGCACGAAAGAGGGAAGGCAGCACCACTGCGCGCGCGCACACTCAAGTGCGGTCCCATACGCCACCTGAGTTGAAAATAAATAAAATTAGGGGATTACGCGCCATATTGCATAATACCGCGACCAATGGGTTAAGGGTTAAGATACTATCTCTATCTCTTATGGTAATTTTGGATCATGAGAAGTTAATGTTACTCCATAAAAGAAGAACCATTCAGGAATATGTTAATTTTTTTCTACTTCCTTATCCATTCCAAGGATTATAATATATATGACATACTAAACATAAATTTAACATGTTTCAGCTCCTTTAATAATCAAGCAGATTAACCCGCCAAGGCTGTTTTGGACCAAACGCCGGGGGCATCATGTCATGCCCATTCCCGCGCAACTGGCTCGTCGGACGGAGGTTGTTTTTCTCCGATAGTAGCGGCTTCATTTATATGGTAAAGATTTTAGGCATTGGCACCTATAATGAAGGTAAACCTTCAAACTTTAAATATTTTTATAAATTTTAGCAAAATAAAAGCTTTTAGGTGCTATATGTCGCTTGCAAACTACCGATCGAGCCAGGCGCAAATAGGGGAAACTGCCGGTGCGTGCCAACAAGCCCGTGCATACGTCAACTTGCAAAAAATTTTAACCTTCAGCGATGGGTAAAATATTCTGGCTATCTAAAATGTAGAGATGAATGTCTGAACACCTACTTGTTTATATAGATTTACTCACTTAAAAAAATCCAAAGCCATGCCATCACCTGTGGAACTGTTATGGAGTCTGCAATGCTGTGTTGCAAAGCCAGAAAATATTCAAGACTACACAAAATAAGACCTGATCATAACACTGCTTCCAGTACATATATTCCCATAAGCTGCCATTAAACATATACTGAAATATAGATCCTAGGTTTTACACAAGACTGGCCACTATAGATTTAAAGAGAGAAAACTTTTCAAATTATGAATCCTGAAGTTAAAGAACATCTTGTGCCCCACAAATGCCAACACAAACCTTGAAAACATACACATCTATAGTGAATTTAAAACCTAAGTCTTTCTTATTCAACAAATTGTTGATTTCAAAGGCTAAAATTGTAAGAAATTAATAGCATCTAATGTACTGGTTTGTAACTAACATCATTGATTTACAAGTAAAATAGTACTCAGTGTAAATATGTGAATGATAACAAACCGTCACATCAACAGAGAGCACTCAGTCTAGGCTATCTAGAGGAAAATGTCACATTATGACTAAGATAACACAAATTTTGTATAAATGTTACATGTTCCCAATTGGAGCTTGTATAGTGATGAAGGACAGACTGGTGGATAGGATGGGAATGGTTAAATGTAGTAAAGGCAACTTGAAATTCACTTATTTTCTTTTAAAAATTGTAAAACAAATGGTATATCCCTATTTGCTATACAAGTTAAATAAAGTATTCTGTCTAAAATAATACAAAACAAAATGTATACCATAAAAAATAAAAGAAATTCAAACTGTACTTCCAATTTCTTACAAAACGTACCCCCAAAACGGCCCCAAAACAAGGAAGAAAAGTGAACAAGAAAGACAGCTTGAGAAATTACTTTTAAGAACTTACTGGTGCTGGAGTGTTACTAGCACTAGACTCTGATGACTGGGGAGGAGTTGGGCTCTTGTCAAACTTGGCATTGTTCATGTCATCAAGAATGTTTTTACCAGTATTAGGGTCTACAATTGCTAGCGTCTTGCGCTCCCTTTGTGGGACTTGTCCTGAACCTGGCTTCATCTGCTGGTGTTGACTGTTTGGTGGGTAAAACACTGCAAAGGAAGAAAAGACATCTATGTATCTAAACTCTTTATTTCCAATAACAAGAATTGGTAACATATAGACAATCCCACACACACAAACACACATACAAGTACTACCAACTGCCTAATCCCACATAGCTAGCTAACCCTTTAAGGAGGTACATCACCACCATGTATCTAACAAAGGCAAGGAAATGAATTTCAAATCTATTATCCTCTGCACTCTCAACATCCAAGAGTCCATTCAGCTTGGTGGGCAAGCAACAGCAGCAAGTGCTCTATGTTAATAAGAGCTGTTTTAAGACAGCTTATAGAAGGCAGTTACATCCACTGCCTTTGAGATGAGGAAATGAGGCAGTTGTTCAGCCTAACAATCACAAGACATGTCAAACCACATCATCAAAGAGATGATGATCATCGGAGGTGAAGCAAAATGAACTGGGAACTTCTGGCAAAGATTGGAGGGGGTGGGGGGACTACCAAATACTGAACCTCAATAACCGACGGTCAATCAGTATAGCAGTATTCCTCAACACTGGTTGATTTCAATCCTTCTACCGAGTTATCCTCTGATGTTACAATTCAAAAAACATATTTTAGGATGTGAAATAGCAATATGGTTTCCTACACTGCTTTTTCATTTTTGATACTTCAATGTCAACTAGAAAGTTGCAACCAATAAATAATAGTTTTCAGAGGACAGTGCAAAAGATCTCCAACAATTTTTAAAATCAATATTGAATAAATAGAATCTTAACGAAAAAATCAATAAAAAGAAATAATATAATAAAATGTATGCATAAGTTACATTCCTGATAAAGTGAATTTAACCCCATTAATGGAAATTCTTCAGTTGGTACAGGAAAACATTCTAAAGAATGTTGTAAAAGACAAAAAGAGAGAAAGAAGAAAGGAAAAGAAAAGAAAAAAAGAGAGAAAAGAAGAAAAGAAAAAGAAAAGAAAAAAAAAAAGAAAGGGGGAAGAAGAAGAAGAAAAGGAACGATGACTGATGACTTGACAATGATGGTAAATGACAGATGAAAGTTGATACCAGCAACTACTGATAATGACCAATGGTGAATAAAGAAAAAGAAATATTCATAATAAAGATAATGATGAAAGTTTGGAGAACGAGATTCTCACTCAGACCAAACGCCTCCTCAAAGGGTTAAATCCTACAAAACCACCCTAGTCAGCAGCACAGAAGACCAACACACACAAAAATTCACTTGAACCAAGACACCAACATCAACACAATAACGAAGGACAAATCCCAAGAGCTACTTACCTCCCTGGGGCTGCCGAAACTGCATGGTAGGTGTGGCCTCGTGCTTACCTCCCGAAGCCTGGTGGTACTGCATGGGCTGGAAGTGGCCTGTGGGGTGAGGCTGAGTCATCTGTGGGGGATGGTACTGCCCAGGCTGCGTGTGTGGCGTTGCCTGCCGTGGCGGACCCATTGGAAACTGAAAGACAGGCAGAGGATGTTTATACTCAGACAATCTGGTTGATAATTGAAAATTTATACACAGAAGAGTAGGATTAAAATGAAAGAAACAAGTAAAAATAGAACCAGTACATCTCCATACAATGATCTTTTTTTCTAAACACAACCTGCTATTTTATCAAGGTTACAAATACAAAAACTACTAGTAAAAATTTCAAATCTCTCTCTATATATAACCGCAGTATAACACTGTACTGTATTAGTAAACAAAATATACACAGGTGATCTGGGCACTTAGCAAACATGCAGGCATGAATGTCAAGCACTGGTAATTCACCCCCAGCCACACCAGCATATTATCCAATACAAAAATTATTACCCCTATTACCCCTTTACCAAAATTCCCTGGGCCTGACTATCCAGGTTAACACTCACAATAATACATACAGCCCACTATTGACAATACCACTCAAATACAACTAACAAGACTCCTCTTGCATTTACTCGAAGACTGGACAGAAGCTGGTCTTAGGTTTATCCAACGCCATCAACAATATATTACCATCTCTTCCCTGAAATGCTTAGCACTTTTTTTTATCTTGGGGAAAAAATAAAACAAAAAATGTACCAACACTCCCTCCCCCCTCTGGGTGTGTGTGTGTGTGTGTGTGTGTGTGTGTGTGTGTGTGTGTGTGTGTGTGTGTGTGTGTGTGTGTGTGTGTGTGTGTGTGTGTGTGTGTGTGTTTTGTGTGTGTGTGTTTTGTGTGTGTGTGTTTGTGTGTGTGTGTGTGTTTTGTGTGTGTGTGTGTTTTGTGTGTGTGTGTGTGTTTTGTGTGTGTGTGTGTGTTTTTGTGTGTGTGTGTGTTTTTGTGTGTGTGTGTGTTTTGTGTGTGTGTGTGTTTTTGTGTGTGTGTGTGTTTTGTGTGTGTGTGTTTTGTGTGTGTGTGTGTGTTGTTTTGTGTGTTGTGTGTGTTTTGTGTGTTTTGTGTGTGTTTTGTGTGTGTGTGTGTTTTGTGTGTGTGTGTTGTGTGTGTGTGTGTTTTTGTGTGTGTGTGTGTTTTTGTGTGATTGTGTGTGTTTTGTGTGTTTTGTGTGTGTGTGTGTGTATGTGTGTGTGTGTGTGTGTGTGTGTGTGTGTGTGTGTGTGTGTGTGTGTGTGTGTGTTGTGTGTGTGTGTGTATGTGTGGTGTGTGTATGTGTTGTGTGGTGTGTGTGTTGTGTGTTGTGTGTGTGCGTGTGTGCTTTGCGTGCGTGTGTGCTTTGCGTGCGTGTGTGCTTTGCGTGCGTGTGTGTTTGTGTGCGTGTGTGCTTTTGTGTGCGTGTGTGCTTTGTGTGCGTGTGTGCTTTGTGTGCGTGTGTGCTTTGTGTGCGTGTGTGCTTTGTGTGCTGTGTGCTTTGTGTGCGTGTGTGCGTGTGTGCTTTGTGTGCGTGTGTGCTTTGTGTGCGTGTGGTGCTTTGTGTGCGTGTGTGCTTTGTGTGCGTGTGTGCTTTGTGTGCGTGTGTGCTTTGTGTGCGTGTGTGCTTTGTGTGCGTGTGTGCTTTGTGTGCGTGTGTGCTTTGTGTGCGTGTGTGCTTGTGTGCGTGTGTGCTTTGTGTGCGTGTGTGCTTTGTG